GTTGTATTGATGCTGCCTGTACAGCTGTAGACATTGTTGTACAGTGTCCAGGATCTACACATGATTCATGGATCTTATGGAGAGTGACCTGATCAGCTGTTTGAAAGGATCATATTCCAGCTGGATGTCACCTGGTGGGGGACAGTGGAAATCTTCTCACACCTCAACCCACAGCCAGGACCACAGCTACATTACAACAGGCTGCCAGTTAGCTTTAGTTAGCTTGTCTATGACGTTTTTTTTTTATTATTTTCCATTGAGTGAATTGAATGTAAGTTTTCATTGTAAAATTAAATTCTCCTGGGTCAACACGGACCTGATCATATAGATGCATTTTGGAGAATGCGCTACTCTTGTAAACAGCTCCAAATCTGTTATAATTTCATTCGTATTAATTTATTTCTGTTTTTATATTTTTATGTTGTGCACGCGTGTTAACTGGCACAGACCATCTTTCATCAACCAATCACTGTGAATCCTGCAAGCAAGATCGTCCATGAAAATTGACGTCAGCCATAGCAACAGAGTCGCTCTGAGTTTTGAGTTCTGAGTTTTCACTTTTAGTAAAGTTTGTCTCAGCAGCTTTGTGACGAGGACTGAGGAGAAAAATATTTTGTTAAAAACTTTTAGTGTGACTTAGGAGAAGTCTTAGTGGTAAGATAAAACGCTTTGTGAATACGGGCCCAAGTCTTTCGTGTAACTCGTGCCATTTTCTGTAGCTACAATTTACAGCTGTTCCCTAAACGCCTCACATACTGGCTATAGGTAATGCTAGCAGGTGTGTGGCCTTTGTACGGGAAACCCTGGGACTTCAGCAGTGTGGACCGCCATTGTGTCTCCCTCCATGTTGCAGGAGAACGTGAGTGAGTGAGGGTGGGGTTGTGTGTGGTGTTGTGCGTGGGGGTGGAATTGTGTAGAGTGCGTGAGAGAGGTGAGATGTCACTGTCACTTCTTTATGGAAGAAACCGATTATATGAAGCAACATCTAACTATATTGATATAAACTGTATTGTCTCATCTTATGTTAGAAAATATATCATATACATTAAAAAGTCGATACACAGCCCATCACTACTGAACACCAGGTTAATATGCAAGAGAGAGCAACACAGACAGTTTTCTGTGGAGGGTAAATGCTAAATGCTTAAAGAGGACCTATTATGGTCATTTTAAGTGTTATTTTTGGTGTTGACTTAAAAAGATTTACACGCTTTAATGTTCTGAAAGGACATTACATTACATGTTATACTGTTCTCTCTTGACCCTCTGTCTGGAACGCTCAGGGCTCTTTAAGACGCCCCTCCTCCCTCTGGAGCTGGAGCCCAGTGTACTCTGATTGGTCAGCTTGCCGGCAACTACAATGGCAACAACACATACTGCACATCTTGTGTAAACAAACTTCGGACGACAATATTCATAACTTGGAATGTTTTTTTTTTTTTGAAGACCCACTTTTGTTTTTTTATGTGTAGACTCTTCCAGACTACAGGAATATAAATAATGGAGGAACAGACAGAAAGTCAACAGGTAGGGAGTCTCCACCGCTTCACCTCCTGCTGGTTTATGATGCCGGTAAATATGAATGAATTTAACATTAGTGCGCATAGTTACTCAAAAATGAACTCAGTGGTTAAACTGTGGATAATTTATCTGAGCTAACGAGGTACAGCATGTCAACACTGACAAATGTTTAAGCATTTATATCTTTGCTATGCTGCTTCTTACTAACATGATCAGGTCACAGTAACGCGGTTATCCACAGTAATCACATTATAATGTTTGGAGCAGTGGAGAACTGTGGAAAAATTAAGTAGATTTCTGCAGGAAATAAAGAACAGTCTTTTCGGCATGGCTAAAAAACTAATGAAAACACTTAACCATAATTAGTTATGTGCTGTGCCTTGTGTGGGGGCGTGCGAAGCTTGCAGGTGGGCAGCACCAACAGAAGTATTGACATCAATAGGACCAGGAAGTAATGTCTGGACCCCAAATGAGGCATTTCATACAAAGGAGAAATTTGGGTTTTTACCCTGACAGAGTTACTCCCTCCCTCCTCTTTGATCCTTGTGACTCTGGAGACCATTTACATGCACAAAAACCTATATAACACACTATAAGTAAGGAAAATCTCAGAAAAGCATAATAGGTCCCCTTTAATCTAGAAGGTTGATGGTGTTAGAATCATAGAAAGACACTAACACATTTATTGCTATGGTTATTTAAAGAGATTTATCTCCGCCGGTCAACAAGTGATTATATTCCTCTGCTCCGTGTAAATCACAGGTCGAGCTGCTCTTTATAAAAAACTCATGAATTTATGAAATTGTAATGGAGAGCTTTTTATGTATGTATGGGATTGTTGCTTCTTTTGCCACGTCAAATAAAACAAGTCAAATATCGTTTTGACATCTGCAAAGGCATGAGCATCAGCAATCGCTCTCACGATCGTTGATCACTGATATCATTGTCCATTGGTACAACCCTAGGAAGGAATGTACGAAGGAAAAGATACACACTCACTCACAATAGTGGCAGCAACCCAGGTAGACTTCTATACAGTTGGACACCAGCATTGCTTCAGTGTTTACTGAGACAGAGCTCCACTTACTCACTTCCCCCACCCAGGCCATCAAAATGATCTATCTCTTATTTTGAAGGAATCCCATAACTCAATGTATACAGATGATGCAACAGTATTCACATCTGGACCTAAAGTGTAGGAGCTAAATTTAGCTTGAACTCAGTGTTTGAAAGGATAACCAGTAATATATTAGCATTAGGGCTGCACAATTAATCAAAACACAACTGAAATCGCAATATGGCTAAGCAGCAATTTTTTTAATGAAGGTAAAATGTGTCACATTGTTGTGCATTGTTAGAACCATCAGTATTGTGTTGCTACAGAGACGCCCCAGCCTACAAATCATATTCTCCAGACGTAAAGGAACAAGTTTGTTCGGGCCAAGACCAACAAAAATCACATTATCATCATTTTTACAAATTTTCAGTGACAATTTAATGAAGAATTATCACTCCACCTGAAAATGTGACTCATATCGCCATCGCAATATCTGACAAAATAATCACAATGTTTTTTTTTGCATATGGTTCAGCCCTAATTTATGATGGAGTGTTAGGGCCACATTGAAGAAAAAAAAGAAATCTGAAATTTCAAGAATAAAGTCATAACATTGCCAGAACAAAGTCGTAATATTACAAGAATTAAAAATGTAAAAGTTGTAGAGGAAAAAATACATAATTTTTAGGAATATTACAACAACCAATCAAACAGTCAGTGGCAGCTGCTGCTTGTCTGTCTAACAACAGAATGACTCAGTTTCTTCACAATCTTATGATTGTCATTCTTGTCCTGACGCTGCTGCTGCTGCTGCTGAAGATGAGCCAAAAGATGAAGTATCTCCTTACTTGTGAAACCTAAAGTTGAACTTCACACGATGCTCCACATCCCTCATGTTAAAGCTTCTGATACTTCCCTCTAAAACAACACACAACTTAAATGACTTTATTCTCATAATAACATGACTTTTTCTTTTAAATATTATTATTTTATTCTCAAAATTACGACTTTATTCTTGAAATTTTTTTTTTTTTTAATTATTAATTTGCATTGAATGTATCTAAAACAAATATTGTGTTTGGAACTAATTACACTAAACCAATCCTGGTCCTCCATATAAATATGTGTTCATTAATTAGGTTGAGGACTAAAGTCACTGGACCTTAGACCTCACCTTAGACAATAGGTTGTCATGGCTGAAACACAGATAACATGGTAACTAAAATGGGGAATAGTCTTTTTGCAATATTGCGGTGTTCAAAATATGTGACACAAGATAAAACCAGTTACAGTTAAACGAATGACAGTCGATGGTCTTATCCAAACTGGATCCCTGTACCTCCTGGTTACATGTTAAAAGCACATTATTGTTTTTATTATTTGTTCTTATCAGAAATATCAAAAAGAGTTTTAATGGTGATGCACATTCATTTTTAACCAGAGCTGTAGCAGGAAGTCAGTTTATACTGTTCCATGCTGGGGCAAGTTCAATCCAGTGTACTGTCTGATATCAAGCAATATATGAATGTACTTCACTCACTACAGAAAATAGCGCATCTAGTTTTAAATTATTACTTAAATGTATCTCGGATAAAACAACATTATCAGTGTTTTCCTCATTCTGTATTCCCATTTCATTGTTTCCCTTAAAGGACCAGTGTGTTGGATTTAGTGACGTCTAGCTTTGAGGTTGTATTTGCGACCCCCCCTTTACGACTGAAGCATGAAAATTTCTCCATGTTTCTATAAACCAGGAAGTTTCAAATGGGTGGGCAGAGCCTCCTGGAATAATTAGTGTGGTCCAGACCAAACTAGCATGCTAGCTTCTGATTAGAGTATTTGCTAATGTGCTAGCTAGTCATGAAATTCCATAGAACAAAATTATACATGCAAAATACAGGATACATGATTATATATATAAAATTAAAAGTGAAGTGATCTAAGACGAATGTTTCATGTTTTTTCCACACTGAGTTTCATTTTGATCCAAGAAAACTGTCTGTGAGCTGTCAATCACTTCACACTGTCTATGGGAAAAATGAATGGGACTTTTTCTGCAGGAACCAGGACGCCTGAAACAGCTCCTCACACCTTCCAACTCTACAGTATTTGTTATGTTGTGTTGCAGCTACTATTATAGTCTGTGACTGTAAGTGCTGTTGATTTGTATTATCCCTGTGTCTACATTTATATGGACACCAGGAAGAATAGCTGCTGTGATACAAACAGTCAGTTTGGGGTTTTAAATCATTAATATGACAGTTAAGGTGGTTTGTGTCATGTGAGTTTAGCCATGCTGAAGGGCTCCTAGTTTCAGGACTTGTAAATCAAACCCCTGACTTCTCACAGGCACGTTTCATGGGAGAGTTCAAGGCCAAACTGGAAAATGAAAGTCAAATGGAAAGTGAAGCATCATTTTTACCTCGTCAGACTCTAGAGCCATAGACTCCACCCTCTCCGGGTTGTCCAGGAGCTCCTGTAGCTCTGATTGGCTAAGGTCCTGGAGCTTCTCCATTTGATTTTGGCAGGATGGCTGTTGTCACAAAGGAAGCAGGAAATGAAAGTTAAAAACAATGTTTGGAAACAGAGAGTGAACAGTCAGAGGACTAACTTCTGCATTTTAATCTCCCCAACCATATATAGATGATTATTAGTCACTGACTTATCAGGCTGTTGCTGACAATTCAAGAATTAACAAACCAACCATGTCACCTACAGCTGCTCCTTCACAAAGTTTCCACTGTGTAAGTGGCCTATCACAAATGTGGGCATTTGTTTTTACACCAACACAAGTGGTAGTTAAACATTAAGACAGTTTGCTAACAGCTAGCTAGCATATTAAAGTCACCCTATAGAGGCAAAGCGGAGGTGAGTGACTGCAGGCCACGGAGCAGAACCAGCTGTTCACTGAGCAGGGGAAAGGCTGAAAATGGGCTGGCACTTACATGATGCTAGCAAACCAAATCCCGCCTGACACTGCGCCGTGGTGACATCCAACACCACCTCTGTTTCCACTCACAGCTGACGTGACACGGCCTCAGGATCTCTCCGACCTGCCCTCACTCGGCCCGACGATTCGACAAACTAGCTAGCTACTCTGCGACGTCTGGTCTCAGCTGACGGTTTCCGCGTTGAGCGATCTGATTACAACAACAGTCGGTATGATCGCAATGTCAGGCACTCGGCCGCCGTCAACTTCGAGGGAAGCCCAGCGATTTTGACGACCAAAAAGGGAGCCCAGAGTGACGCCGCTCGTCCCTAACCACCGCTGCCACACGCATCGGTGTCCCGATAAATGTTACTTTATCAAACACACGACCGCAGTCGACACTGCGGGTCAGAAAAGCGCTAAATATTCGCAAAAAAGGAAGAAAGTTTCACTACACACTGACAGAAACCGCCGCCATTTTAGGAACCATCCACGTTCCGCGGTTTGCAGGGGTGTTCGGACAAAACTAAGATAATCCAAAACAGCAGCGGTGAGCTAAAATTAACTCGTGAGTCATACACTTAAAATACTTCCGATCTGGCGATATGTTTAGGAGCAATTATGTCAACTGTGGTCGTCTTCCCTCCGCTGTCCCCCGCATGGCAGGGTAATGGTGGGGTCCTGTGTTCAGCTGGGAAACCCCTACAGTATGTGACGGTATTGTTCCAGCCAATACTTCCCGTGTCCCTCCAGCACTGCTGTCAGTGGATGAACATCCGTCATCCTGCTGAGGTGGAGGAGCGGCCCCCACCCCGACCAGGCTTCGTCACAGCCGGAGAAACGAGAGGACAGAGGGGACAGGGGTACCAAAAAAAAAAAAAAGAAACTGCAGAAAACGTCATCAATGATTTATTTACATGTATAACTACAGCTGCCTGACTAACTTTTGACCTTCTATTAGTTTTTTTAATTATTTATTTATTATTTCTATGTTATTATTTTTGATTGTTATGTTATGTTATGTTATGTTATGTTATGTTATGTTATGTTATGTTATGTTATGTTATGTTATGTTATGTTATGTTATGTTATTCCATTTCATTTTACATTAATGTTTTTTAATGATTCTCATTTTACATCAATGTTTTTAACATTTTTATGTTCTTTTTATGTCTTTGTGCAGGTCATTTCTTTGTTGTAAAGCACTTTTTGCTACATTTCTTCTGAGAAAAGTGCTATAAAAAAAGATCCTTATTATTATTATTATTATTATTATTATTATTATTATTATTATTATTATTGTCATTAATACCAAACATTTCTAACTGCAGGCCTGATGGGTTATCAGAAAATGTGAAACCCTCAGTACTTTTAAAGCTTTACCAACAAGTCATTGCCAAAACATTAGATTTAAACAGAGTGGAGACTTCACTTTGAAATGTCATAAAAACACCAATATTTCACATTTACTGGATCGTTCTTTGTACAGTTGGCGTGTTTTTGGTTTTGCGCACAGACCCACAGCCAGTCAGACTCTATGTATAAGTTAATACAGGGTTCTACCATAATATGGGAGACCAGGGCATCTTGTCACACTTTCACCTCAGTACCTTGGTCTCAGTATATCACAGTCATCCATTTTCTTTATTAAATTAAACAATAAAGTATTGTGCTTGTGTGACAAGTTGCCCCATTATGCAGTCAGTTGTCACACTATATTTTTCAGATGAAGAAACACCTCAAACCCATCAAACTCTTAACCTTAACTCTTCCCTTTGTCCTTCCTTCCTTTTCTTAATTTTGTTTGAAAATTCCTACAAAAAGATGTTTCATGATTATATATATTTCTTTGAATCAAAGGCTTCTCATGCATCCTCCTGTATATTTCAACCATTTTGTCATATTTAACTATTAAAAATCCAGCTGAAATGAAAAATGCCTTTTTAACCATTATAGAGGATATCCGCAGTCACACTGTGCCCCTATTTAACAATATCTGCCAAAAATCTCTTCTTTTCAAACTAAATATTATGGGTGCTTATGTCAGCACACCTCAACTAGTTTAAATCAATGATATCAGGTGAAGAAGGTGTGCCTGTGAAGCCAACAGCAGACAGCAACATAGTAGTCTCACGAAGTAGTGAGAGTGACGTGCTGTTGCTAGCTTTAGTCCAGGACTTTGGTTTAGGAATCAAAATACACCTTTTCTCTCATTTATCATGTGCAAAAATAATATTTTTAAAAACACTTATGTATCCAAGTTTAATGACATAAAAAGTGCGATTTAGAGTTTTTTACTTTTAGGTTTGAATATTTGAAAATTGTTCTCAGCTCAGTGATGCAGACCATATGTCAAGAGCAAAATGACTTCAGAACACTTAGAGGAACATGCAACTGTTGTTTTTTTGGATAGCACCCTCTAGTTGTGGAGATATGATCAGTGTGACAAGATGCCCTGGTCTCACCTATCTGTATTTGTAAGTGTTGATAATCAGTAATGGAGCCTGGTCCAGAGGACAGTTCATTGCAGTGGTCTAAACACAAACAGTGTCTGCTGGAGGAGGATTTGCCACAACCTGGCAACTCAGATGTTGTTCTCATTAATGACATAACTGAAGCATTAAAGACGTCCATCCATTTAGCTATACTACTTATCCTTAGAAGGTTGCCGGGGGCTGGAGCCATTCTCAGCTGATTTACATTAATGATAAATGTCTTAATCATTAATAAAGCTGTTAATTACAGTTTATAAAGCAGGCTCCACATTTGACTGTTAGTAATATCAGCAGGTGTAGTTGTGTTTGGTCCTGGCAGCAGAAACGTATGTAACATATATAAGTATATAAGTATTCATGGTTTGTTTAGTGAATTAGAATTTGTGGTTTTGAGGCTTTTGGCCCATCAAATAAATTAAAATTCTGGTATAAAAGCAGAACAACACAAATTTATCAGCTGCTGGTGAAAACATGCAAGTTGGTTTTAGCCTTCAGTCTACCAGACTACAACAGATCATCATCCTGGAGGAAGTCCAAACACACATACACAGATGACAATCAACATATAGATCAAAATATTAGAATAGAGACAAACTAATAAGAAAATAACAATAACAGCAGCAGGTTGAGCTGAAGACAAACAACCACCAAGTATTAAAATGGAGGATTTAGAGCTGGGCCTGATAAAGAGCCTGATGAGTATATGATCTTGTCATATGAAGTCTGTTTATTCACTGACAGACTCTCAGTTGTAGTATCCAGGTGTGACACTCATGACACTCCTTGTTTGGCTGCCCACACCACTGCAGTTGAAACAACTGTGTCAAAATGACAACAGGTCACAAGATGGAAGAACACATGTACTGTAATCTATTACATTGAGGCTTTTATAAGTTTCAGTTTAAGGTGTTTGTTATTTTTGGAGGTAGTCAGGCGTGCAAAGGCTTCTTCGGCCCCAGGGCCAAATGGAGTCCCCTACCGGGTTTATAAAAGCGCACCTGATATCTTAAAGTTTTTGTGGAGGCAATTAAGAATAGTTTGGGAGAAACAGGTTATTCCCAGAGCATGGCATAGGGCAGGAGGTGTTTTTATTCCAAAGGAGAAGGAATCCTCAGACCTGAGTCAGTTTCGAATGATCTCTCTCCTAAATGTGGAGGGGAAGATCTTCTTTAGCATAGTCGCACGGAGATTAGCTAGTTATTTAGAAAGGAATAGCTTAATAGATACTGCAGTACAGAAGGCAGGAATACCAGGTTTCGCAGGGTGTTTAGAGCACACTAGCATGATTTGGCATCAGATTCAGGCAGCCAAGACAGAGAAAAGAGACTTGCATGTCATATTTTTGGATTTAGCAAATGCGTTTGGTTCAGTGCCACATAGCCTTATTTGGGAGGCATTTGATTATTTTAGAGTGCCTGAAATAGTGGTTAAGTTAGTAAGGTCGTATTTCCAAGACATTAGACTATGCTTAAGTACAGCAGGCTTTACGACAGGGTGGCAGAGGCTAGAAATAGGCATTATGGCAGGGTGCACGATTTCTCCATTGGCATTCACAATGGCGATGGAGGTAATCATTAGAGCTTCTAAGTGGGTTGTAGGTGGAGAGAGGCGGCAGGATGAGATGCGCCTTACACCAATTAGGGCCTACATGGATGACATGACGTTGATAACTACAACAGTGCCATGTATGAAAAGAGTACTTGAGAGACTTAATAAAAACTTAAAGTGGGCTAGTATGAAAATTAAGCCTAGTAAGTCTAGAAGTATCTCAATAAGTAGAGGGAAGCTAAGTGATAGGAAGTTTGTAATAGACGAAGAGGAAATTCCAATAATTAGGGAAAAATCAGTAAAGAGTCTAGGTAGGTGGTACAAGGCAGACTTGAATGACGGAGAACAGGTAGTGCAGTTTCGGAAAGATGTTCCGAGGGACTGGATAGAATAGATAAATCAGGGCTTCCAGGAAAGTTGAAGTTGTGGTTTGCTGAGTTTGGGTTATTTCCGAGACTGATGTGGCCACTGTCCGTATATGAGATTCCATTATCTGCTGCAGAAAAAATGGAAAGATTAGTTAGCTTTTACATTAGGAAGTGGCTAGGTGTTCCTAGATGTTTAAGTACAGTGGCACTGTATGGGAAAGGCATACTTCAGCCTCCCAGTAACTAGTCTAGTGGAGGAGTTTAAATGTACTAAGGTTAGGACAGAGCTCCTGTTATCTGGGAGTAAAGATGTGGTAGTCAGTAAGGTGGTTCCAAACCCAATCAAGGGGAGAAAGTGGAATCCAAGAATGGCAGTGCAGGAGGCAGAAGCAACGCTCAGGCATACAGAGATTTGTGGGTAATGTCCAAATAGGCCGGGAGGCTTGGGGCTTGGCCCAGGCAAACCGGTGTGGAGTAGAGCAGGTCCCAAGGAAAAGAGAAAGCTAGTTGTGGAACAGGTTCGTAGACAGGAGGAAATATTAAGGGGTGCAAAGGCAGTGGCTCAGGCTAAGCAGGGTCAGTGGTTGAATTGGGAAGGTGTAGATAAGAAAAAGCTTAGCTGGAAAGAGCTGTGGCGTATGGAGGAAAGTAGCATTAGATTTTTGATAGGGGCAACATATGATGTATTGCCAACTCCCCAGAACCTAAAAACTCTGGGTAAATGGAGACCCGCTATGTTCATTGTGTTCAGGTACTGCAACTTTAAAGCACATTTTGTCAGGCTGTAAGGTTAGTCTGTCACAAGGCCGGTATACGTGGCGACATAACCAGGTTTTAAAAAGCTTAGCTGCAGGAATTGAAGACCTACGGAGGCAGGCAAATTAAGGAGGGTCTAAAATAAAGAGAGTTGCAATCAAGTTTGTTCAAGAGGGAGAGAAAGTTGGTAAGACAGCAAGGAGGCAAGGCAGCTTAGAGGATGCTTGTGATTGGGAAATGCAGGTAGATTTAGGAGGAAAGCTTGTTGTTCCCCAGGAAATAGCCAGTACAAAGCTAAGGCCTGACATAGTCTTGTGGTCTAGGAGTAGAATGAAAGTATATTTCATAGAGCTGACTGTTCCGTGGGAGGCTTCAGTTGAAGAAGCATATGACAGGAAAAAGCTCAGGTATGTAGAGTTAGGGGCAGAAGCAGAGCAGCGAGGATGGAAAGTTAGGATTTGTCCAGTGGAAGTAGGATGTAGAGAATTTGTAGCAAGGTCTGTTGTCTCTTTGGTAAGGGAGTTAGGAGGAAGTGGACAGAGTGTGAGGAAAATAGGACATGTCAGATGAGGCAGTAAGATCCAGTCAGTGGATTTGGATGAGAAGAAGTAATGGTAGCTGGGGGCCCAGCAGGGGGAGTACTTAGGATAGACAGACTCTTAGGAGAAGCAAGGAAGAAAATCCAGGAAGAGGAAGTGTTTTTAAGTGGGGGGTGTGGCCTGTGTGATTACAAACCAATCACT